AGTCCTAATCCCAAACATGGGTTTCATCCCACCAAGTTTTAGTAATGGCAACAATGTCATTCCTGTCCCCGTGTACAAAGATTTCAAGCTGGCCTTGCTTGTTCCTCATACTTTGAGGAACTTTGGAGTCCTGTTTGGCTGATCCTGTGTTTGCTTAATGCATCTCCTGTTTTGTATCTTTGTTCCCCTTCTTTCTTACCACTTGATTCATTGCCATCATGTTTGGGATTAGGACTTGAAAATTGTTCTCCCTGCAATTAATTTAATTTTGTTTAATCCAGATTACATTCTGCTGATTATTTGACAAAGGTAATATCATACAATTAAATTTAGAAGATATCTGCATTATGACCCTGAAGCAAAATAAGCTAATTATACTCAGTATGATTATATATTCAGATGAATATAAAGGCCGTAGAAATCCTTCAAAAGATTAGCACGGGGAGGCAGGTGGGAACAACTTCTAAAAGAGTCAAGTCAGCCGGTGAAGACAAGAGTTGCTTTATTTCAAAAGAGATGTTTTATACATACCCCCATGAATTCTCAAAGCAACGCTTCCAAAAGAAAGATTTGCACAGCCTTAGGAGATATCAAACGGAATTTGAATGTTTCATGGCTCTTTCTTATCAGACTATTTTTACTGCTGGAACACCTTTGTGGAAAACCGCCAAAAAACCTTCAAAGCCTGGGAAGGACTTCATGAAAACTCTGTGCGTCTTACCAGACAACTCAGGCGAATTCTTTTGGTAAACATTTGCTTCTTCCACTGAGCTTCCTTCTTCTTTGCTGCTCTGCTCCCACTTGTCATTTCCTGCTTCTCCTTGGTGTAAGAGAATCCCTGCCCTCTACTTGCTCTTCTCTTGCCTTGGTTTCTCATTCAGACCCTTCCCTCCCCTTCCTACATTTCCTTGATGTTGCCAGTAGTTACCTTGTTATCTTGTCTCATATTCTCACAAGTGCTTTTGGATCACTTATTTCTCCTTGATTCACAGCCTCTTTATGAAATTGATGACCTGCGAGATGCTTTCCAAACCCTTGGACTTTAAATTCCTGCTTGGAAAGAAATGAAGATGAAAAGATGCCAACATCCAACTTTTCCTCCCAGTTCTTTCTTTCCTACCATAAGTATCAAATTGTGGAAAAAGCATTTTAAAGAAAAAAATGGCAAGGTCTTCTGAATGAACTTTTTTTGCATACTGGGACTTGTACTCTCTCCTTCATGGGAAGAAGTCAATCCAATCAAACTGTCCAAGGCATGCGACCACATTTCTATTACTATCACAAAGGTCAGCCAAACAAATAGATAATTTAGGAAGATAGCCGTTTGTACTAAACAAAAGGATCTAATTAAATCTCCTAGAATGAGGTGGAGGTCAAATATAAAACTTTTAAAATTGCCAGGGTATTTAGCATCCACAAAAAAGGTGAAATTTGAATCTTGATGCCTTAACACTGCACAGAAACTAATACATTTCACCATATTGTTACTAGTAGATGCCCACTGTAAATCTGGAGGGCACTGTTGCTTTGACACTGGATTTGCGCTTGATCTTCATTGTGTCATGATTGTAAGCCAAAACACTCTTGCAAGAAAGTATTTTCAAAGATACACCAGAAGAGCCTCATACTTTGGATTAACAGTGATGGCTAACCTTTTTCTAAAGATGTGCCAAAACTGTGTGTGTGTGCGCGCG